CTGGGATATTTCACTCAGCATAATGTTCTCCAGAGTCAACCATTTTGAATAATATTGCATGAGTTCCTTGTTTTTCAATGCAGCATAGTATTCCAACAGATATCTTTCTATAGCTCTAAAGTCTTTGAAGTATGTGATTAATACATATTTACACAGAAGCAGGTAAAAGATATATTAAAATATATGATATAGTTGAGATTTAACAGTTGTTCTATAAATCAGATCCTGGAACATCAGTAAATAGTCATCTGAATTGAAGATTCATCTTTAACCTTTTATTTGTGGCTTACCATCTTCTAATGTAAACAGATCATACCCAGAGAACATGGAGCTTTTATTTTGGATTACTTAGAAAATCTTAACTAATATTGTCATTTTTCACAGTGGCATGTTATATTAAGGACTGTCATTGTTAGTTCAGATGCTAGCTAAGATAATAGTTTGGATCCTCCAGCAAAAGTAGACTAAGTAAAAGTATGTGTATGGAGTTGGGTTTGGGAGCTCTTCACAGATTATTTGGCATTCAGTATTTTATACTATTCCTCTACCCCCTTGTCAACCCTAACTAATTTGATCTAAAGTGTTTATTGCTGATTGCTAGCATCTCCTATTTTATATTTCAGTCTCTGTTGGATAATATATCAATTTATATTGGCATATCTACTTAAATATTTAAAAATTCTAGATTTTAAAGTGTTAATATACAAATTACATAGCACCTCATTTCAGCTGCATTCTTTACAGCTGAGAAAGTTGAGACTATGAAAAACTAAGAGACTTGAATAAAGTCACACAGCATTGCTGAAATTTCAGGACACAACTAGGCCATACTCCTCCCCCCCTCCACTCCTTACCCATCCTTATTGAAGCAGTTTTGCGTATCCTGTTCCAGATTGTTATTACAATATACTTAATTGTCTGATTGTCCATTTGTTTCAAGTTGGTCTTCCCTTCCTAAGTCCATTACAGTATTCATTGTCTACCAATTTTATTTCTGCTCACCCCATACCCCTCTAACCGTCCCAGGTCTATAATAGAGGTCATACACAGTATTTATCCCTTTGTGACTGATATACTTCACTCAGCATAATGTCCTCTAGACTCGTCACTGTAGTATAGTGTTTCATGAGTTCCTTATTCTTTTTAATGTTACATAGTACTCCATTGTGTGAATATACTCCAGTTTCTCTATTCATTCGTTTAAACACAGTCCTTTTGACTCTAAAACCCTATGCTTTCCTCTTTCTCTCAGTTAATTGCACTGCAAAATTTCTTATATATAAGGGAAACAGTTATAGGATAACGGACCAATCAGGAATACATACAGATTTATCTCTAGTTTAAGTGTAAAATAATTTAACACTATTTCATGGACTGCTAGGAAAACAAACAGATTTGTCCTGGAGAGGGTTAAACCGGGTAGCTCCTTGGAGGCAAGGATTCTGAGGCTCCCTCTAACTTACTTTGGACATGTTGTGAGGAGAGACCGGTCCTTAGAGAGGGACATCATGCTTGGGAGGGTGGAGGGAGGGCGCAGGAGAGGAAAGCCCTCTATGAGGTGGATTGATTCAGTGACTGGGATAATTGGGATGGGAGTGTCGGGGACAGTGCGATTGGCACAGGACAGAGCGGAGTTTAGGTCTGTTGTACATAGGGTCGCTATGAGTCGCAGGCGACTCGATGGCACATAACAACAACAAATGGGGGGAAAAAACCCCACAACAATCTACTAGTTAGACTTTCTTAATATTCTGCTTCCTCCTATTTTGAGAATTTACTGAACATACTTCTTAAAATAAAATAAAACATCAAACCTAGCTGGAAATAATGCCCAAGTGGATTTTGAGAAAGATGTATTTTAATAACTTTTACCTTTTCATCTTAAAAACTTCATCTTTTCATATTGGAAAAATTACCTACATATATAAATCTGACTCTATAGGGATATTTTAATGCTTTATTACTTTTTTTGTCATCATAAAAGCACTCTTCATTATGCTGCTTGTATTTTAGTTTTGTGTGAAGTATAAAGAAGTATGCCTTATGAAGGTTAAAATATTGGTAAAGAGGAAAATGTGCAACAGTGACTGAAAGAATATCCATCTTTTCTGTAAACTTATTAAAAATCACAAAGATTTTTTTTACATTTTTAAAAATATATTTTTGAGATTCAAGATCTCATGAGTGCACATAATGACAAATGGAAGTATAACAGTGAAGCCCCCCAGTGAGGTGATGGACACTGTGACTTGAACGGTGGGGCTCTAGTGTGTCAGAGATGAAGACGGCCCATGATAGGGCAGGGTTCAGAGCGGCTGTTCATAAGGTCGCTAGGAGTCATACTCGACTCGATGGTACCTTACCACCACAGTGTACTTGTTTAAAGTATATATATGGTCTGTTTTAAGAATCATTGAAGAAATTCTGTAAACGTCAACACCCAGCCGGAGATTCTATTCAACTCTCATGTTGCACTGCAGTGCTCTTTATCATTGCCAACAACTAACGTTCGTCAGACACTACATATATTCCCTTTTTGGTTAGTCAGAATGATAACATGTTACTGCAAATTGACAAGTTTCCAGGGGGAATGTGCACCATGGAGTGTACTCTCATCTTCCTTTTTCACATGGTATCTGGAATATAGTTCTTTGACCTGTGACATTAGCGGGAGCTCTGAGGGCTTAGTCAGTTGTCAATACGAAGTTGCACTGCTAACCCAAAGGCTGTTCTGGGAGCTTGAGTCCACCAGCCGCTCTGAAAGAGAAAGATGGGAGCCTCCTCCCTTGCCATTTATTTATTGCCTTGGAAACTCACTGGAGGGTCAGCTAGACCCAAGAGCACGAAGTGCCTGAGTGAGGACATATCTAAGACCACAAAACCCTCCTTTTTGACATGAGCTCTTTTTAATGTCCTAGTGCATTTTAAGTATTATGCAAAAAAAAAAAAGAAATGAAGTCTATGAATTGTTGAACTTGCAAATTCAGAATGCACTTTTTACCTTTAATTGGTCCGAGAGAAGCTGTATTACGTTGCTAAATGTTGAATGCATTGATCCTTCAACTATAATGTATAGGATTGACTTTAAGAACTTATTAAATGTAGGTGCCATCACCTACCATTCAATTCTAATGTAGTCAATTTGAATTTGGGTCCAAAAAAAATCTGCTAAAGGTGAACTGTTATCCCTTTAGAAACACTGATCTATGGGAGTGTGTGTGTGGGGGGGGGGGGGGGGATGTATCTTATTTTAGAAGATTATATCAATGCTTTAAAATATTGGGTGAATTCATGTTTTACATCTGATAGTCAATCATTCATAGACAACCTGTGTTCTATTTCTATAATTACCTGTCTCCAGATCCTCTGACTTATCCAAGGTAATATGCTCAAAAGTGAGTAACTTGTTATTCCCAGAAATCAATCTCTGACTACATTGTTGGCCTACTGTTTTTTTTCCTTCAGAAACAGAAATATCCTGACAGAAATATTTTCTTTCCTTTTTACTGGGCCCTAACTAAAATAGCTACTCATTTCTTTTTCCCAAGCTCTTGTAGCCCAAACAGTGATGTGCTTGTCTGCTGAAATATTAGGGGTTCAAAGCCACCCAGTTGCTTTGTGGCAGAAAATACACTGATGATCTGCTTGTGTAAGAAATTCCCACCTAGGAAACCCTGCAGGGCAGTTCTGCTCGGCCCCAGAGCATTGCTCTGAGTCATTATAATGTCACCTAAATGCATCTCTTGGCTTCTTGTTGTTGTTGTTGTTGCTAAGTGCTGTCGAGTCGCAGGCGACTCATAGCGACCCTATGAAGGAGAGTCCGCGACGCTTGGGTGCCTTTCATCCTCTCTCCAGTTTCATAGGGTTTCCAGAGGCAAGCTATTACGGAAGTGGATGCCACTCCTCCTTCCAAGATCTCTTGGTTTAGGAGGTCTTTAAAAATGGGCATGAATGGAATTTCTTCTGTAAAGAAAAAGATCTTGGGATGAGGGTTAAATTCCTCAGCCTGTGTTATTGTTTGGGTTGTTTTGTGTTGGGTTTGGTGTTGGGTTTTTGTTTTGGTTTTTTTCTTCTTTACCATCTTGTTAATCAAGTGTCAGTATCTTGACCTGGTGGTGCAGTGAGTTCAGGGTTGAGCAGCTAATCGAAAAATCAGCTATCCAGACCTATCTGCCACTCTGTGGGAGGACGATAGGCCAGCCCTTCGCATTTAGATTTGCAGCCGATGAGATGGACTTGATGGCAGTAGGTTTGTTTTGTTTGTTTGATTCCTGGATAACAAAATGGACACATCAGTGACACAGGCAACACCCGGCATTCTGCTGCGTACTAACATTTTGTCAATTCGGGGACAGCGAAATGTGCATAGAGCCCAACTCTTCCCTCCCCTCAGTAGTCAGTCACTGTAGGCAATCGACAAAAAAATGTCATGAATAAAAGGTTCTCCAAGGCTGTTCTCATATGCAGATCTAATCATGTACACAGCCTTTGCAAAGAAAATGGAGCCAGATGTTGTTCACCATTTATAGCTACACAGATGGCTCCAAGCATAGAGGAATATAGTAAATTCAAAAGGAATTCCTCCTGAAACTCTAGTGGAATGTAATCCTAAATTTAGAGGGAAGATAGCAGTGGGCTAAATTCAGATTGACTTATGCTGATTTGCACTAGTATTTTGTGGGTTTCAAAACACCAGGCTGCTAAATTGTTCTTAATTTAAACACATACAGTTTCTGATGTTTCTGCCAGATTAGCTGTTGGTTATCTTTTTGCTGGTACTAATGCTGTTGGAACACTACTGTTTCTAATTTCTGGCATCTGATATCATGTATGGTTGTGCCTATTTTATCATGCTAATTTTTTCCCAAGTAGTACATGTTTTCAATAATACAAGACACACATATACATGTACACATACACACACATGTGCAAAGAAGCCCACTTATTCACATATATGTATGTGTCTGGTATATGTACTTTGGTCAGACATAAAACTGGTATTTAATCTTTATTAAAAATGAAAGGAATATTCTTTTCTTTAATTATTTAAAGTACATATGTTCTCTGGATTTCAGTTAAGGGTTTTTTTTAAAAAATTAACTTAAAATATTGGCATATCAGATTCATGTCTTTTTTTTTATTTTATTGAGAAAAACATATTGGGGGTACAAGGAGGCGAGGGTTGGGGGCAGAAGGGTGAGGATGGGTAGGGATGCAGTTGTCAGATTCATGTCTTTTATACAGTTGCATTTGTGAAATGAAAACATTGTTAGAAAAAAAACAGTCTTAGAGGATCTTCTGGAATTTCACATTTAGAATTTCATGTCATTTTTAATTCAATGAAATATTCAAAATAGGTAAAATAAATGCACAGTTTTGCCACTGTGAAAGATATTCCTACCACAAAAGTGTAAATTTTCTTTATAGTGTCTTTTTGGAGTGAAAACCTTAAGACTAGCTAGAAGCAAGAGTAAGAATTTTCAATAATAATCCCCTCCCATTTACCTTATCATTATACACTTATATTTTGAGTTGTTTGCTTGTTTACTGGGACTCAAATCAGAAGGATCAAAGATGCTGATAATTATTTAGTCCTATCAAACTTCACAAGTAATGGTTTTCTGCTGAAATGCAAGTGAAGATCAGCTTTTTCTACAATCTGGCTATCACTCGGAAACTTTATCAAACTATGAAATCCTGGGCCCTGGCATTTGCATTTTTAAATTTAAGCTTTCAAATTCTACCTAGATACACTGAAATTTCTTAGCACAGCTGGATTATTAGTGTTTGAACTCACATTTGGGAACCACTGGCCTAAAAGACTATTTATTCTTTTTACTTATCATTTCATTTTTTTTTAGTGGTTCTTTCCTCCAGTGTGTTGGGGCCATGCCTTAGTATGTTTTAACCATAATTTACACTGTAGTCCTTTCACTGAAGAATAACAACTGATAGTTGTTATTCCCACTGTTCACAGAGCTTTGGTTTTCATTCCAGCCATGCATTAAAAGTAAAATATTTTTTTTATTGTTTTTAGGACCAAAAACTGTGTTATCAGTACTTCTTAAGCAGTATCAGAATTATCATGTTGTGATTCAATCTGTTACAATTTTATGGTCCGAATGTTATAATCTCATTATCATAGACTCTCAAAATACATTTCTTAGACTCTCAAATCAAAGATCAAGTGGAGTGGAGAGTGACTTTTCTCCGTATTAAGATGGCTTGTGTATGACAGGATTGTTTAGTGCGATGCCTACTGCTGAGGTTTGGAACAGGATTCCTCTGGAGTATATACAGTATCTGAATTCCTTTACGAGTCCCACAAAAGCTGCACACTGCCAACTTTTCTGACTTTAGAGCTCTAAATTAAGGCCAGCTCTTTTGCTCATCCCACAAACTCTTTCATGTTCGCTAACCGCAGCCTGAGAAAGGCGCCTTGGTTTCAACAGCAGCAGACCAGCATATGTTTACTTAATTCCTAAGACGTGATGACAGTGGTCTCTGTGCCACTAAAAGCTTTTCTCTTTATTATTTTTGGTTGAAGCTGATTTCCAAGCTTGCCTCGCATGTCACGTGTGTTTTGCAGCGCCTTCAATGATGCCCAGGAAGAGCAGTGGAAGCTCAGGGAGCAGCAGCTGAAAGTGCAGATTGCTCAGCTCGAGGCCACCTTAAAATCTGACTTAACAGACAAAGCTGAAATCCTTGACAGATTAAAAACGGAAAAAGGTACATACAAAATAACTAACTGCTCCCTTACTCATCTCAGACATCTGATGTTTATTCACCCGTCTATCATTACTTACGGTGGTGCCTCTTGTGTGCCAGGCACCTTGCTATGTTCTAGGGACACAGCTTGTGTTAAAAGCCGTACTGTTCCTAAATTTATTGGTGCTCTCAATTTCCCTTTAGGTGGCCCACACTTTCTGTCAAAGGAATGCTTTTCTCTCAGCGTTCCTCGTGTTCAGTTGTGTTGAATGGGTTTCATTTTTCTATATGCCGAGCCTTTCTTTAATCCAACAGTCAACAAGTGTTTATTGAGTACCAACATGTGCTAGACACTCTACTGAGTTCTCTCACTACAACAGGGAATAAAACGCAGATCTTGTTCTCATTCAGCATACACTTACCAGGGAGAAATCGACAACATGTAAACAAATATGTCATACGTCAAGTCGTGGTGAGTAAAAGGGAAAGCAAAAAACAATGTAAAATGATTGCGAGCATTGGAAGTGGTTGCTTGCTGGTGTGATAATTAAAACAAGAATAGTCTCTCTGATAATGAGATCGTGATTCTACTCTGAGACAATGCTAAAAGCCACGAAGTTGGGGCAGAATGTCCTTTCTAAAGCAATAGCCATTAGTAAGTTTCATTTCATGGATTGCAGATCCCACCCTTCTTATCTCAACAGAAGTAAAATAATGTGTAAAGTAGATGTGAAAATTACTATAATATATATTTGCATATACACACACATGAATGACAGAGAAAAGGAATTCTTTGATTGAATTGTTGAATGTGTCTGTTCCTCTGCTGAAGAAACTAAATACTGTGATTTTAAAGTTTTATTGCATGAGAAGATTTGAAAGTTTAAAGCTAACTCAGAGGGGGAAAAATACCAGCTCAGTACTCTTATATATTGAGGTGGAACACAAGTGCCATCTTTCATTGAAAATAAGAAACATTTTTCATCCTTTAACACAGTTGAAACTTGGCTACACGTTAGTGGTGATCACAATTGCAGTTTGCCATTTTTCTTCCTATTTTAACAAATATAAATTTTTAATGCATTTTGTACCAGTGAATTCATTAATTTTAATTAACTATAGTATATTTATTTACCATTTAATTCAACATTACATCTAACACAGATTATTTGTACATTTTTCAGTAGAAGATTGTGGGTACAATAGAATATTAACATGATTCAGGTCTAGTAGACGTTTAATATTTTTAATATTAAAAATTTTAATGTGCATTGCATAATACGTAATAAAGGCTTTCTCCTAGTAGTTCCTCAATAAATCTTGTTTACAGGAGAAATGCTCTAAATTCCCTTTCTGTGTTCCAAAAACCAACCTAAGCTGCTCCTTCTAAGACAAAGAGAAACTAAATAACCTTTTATTGTTGTTATACTTTATTGCCCTGGATACCTAGAAACTTTATCTGTATCATTATACACTTCCAAAATTTAGACAACTGACTTAGTCTCTGGAAAGAAATTCATCTTAAGGGAAAAGAATCTTGATATTTCCCTTCTTTTTTAAAAACCCTATTTATTATGGTTGAATTAATGCTGAAAGTTCCTATTACTACAATTGGTAAATTGTTTTAATTCAATTACTCCTTTTCTAGTATTTTTTACTGATTCTTTTTCTTTTCATATTAAATACAAGGTTTTTTTTTTAATTTTGGAAAACAAAAATAATTCATATACTATGGGGAGGTGGAAAGTCCTATAAACAATAAAGTTACTAAAATCACTCCCACAACCTCTAAGGTAATGCCTCTTAATATTTTGTTGCAGGCCTTCTCAGAATTGTTTCTGTTTAGCTTCATAATGTACTTTTCTTTTTAGTATTTTGTGAGGTCATTCCTTGCATAAATATCCACAGCACCACTTGTAATGTCTGTTACACTTCTTCACCAAACAGATGTGCCAAAAAATAGTTACCAATATTCTAGTGATAAATATTTAGATAGGTTTATTTTTCTGGGTGCCAGAAACAAAACACATTGATATACTTATTTCCTTAAAGAAAATATTAGAACTGAAACTGTATTTAATGCAACTTTTATTTTCCAGCTGATTATATGAAAAACACTGTACAGCCTTTAACTCATTCATCTTCCAGGAAAATACTAAACAGAAAATTGAAATTGCCTATTTAAGGAAATCTTTTATTTAGAAAGTTTATTTTTATATTACCAATTGTGAAATTGTTTACTTTGAAGTTCGTCCACACATTTACCTTTTCATGTATCAACTGTTCTCTGCTGGAAGATGTTTCCTTAGCTTCTTGTAATCATTCATCTAACTGGAAAATTATTTTTAAAGAATACTCACCTCTTTATTCAAGGTACAAATTAGTTTCAGATTGTGTGAATATGTGGGGGGAAGGATATGTAAATGCAGTTTGCATTTGGTTAATGCTTAAATTAACTGCATGTGTTTAAGGGCCTGCTTTTGAACATTCCTTTCTATCTTTAGCTGAAATGCATAATTCAGCATAATGCATATAGTTATATTGATCACAGCTGAAGATATTAGCACAAAGGAACTCTGAAAATTGTTCAGTTGAATTGTTCTCTGCACTTTGCTTATTAATGGTATGCTAGAAGACACAGTCTTAAAAGTGAAATGTTACCTCATTTAAATAAAAACTTGATTTTTTTTTTGCCAGATCATGACATAAGGTTTTTGAATCTTGGAAAGTGCACTTACATTTTTCAGATTCTGATTCAGTAAATCTATTTACCATTTGAACTTTGGTATCTCAGTATAGTTTAAGACCCAGAAGTTATATCCCAAATAAGCAGTTTGAAAAAGAAAAGAAAATCTATGTAGCAGATGATTCTACATAAACTTCAATATAGAGACTCTTACTGGTATTCATGAATGTTCTAAATTATTCCCCCAATAGTAACATGTTAGTTTTTAAATTATCACTGAAGCAGGAATGTTGCTATTGAAATAGAAAGCAATAGAGAATGGAAACATCTGAGTAAGTTATGTTTATTATTATATAATTCTTAGGAACACTCTTGTGAAAATTTGAAAGGCCAGAAAAACTGAAGTACAGATATAATAGTCAAAATACAGTCTGTCTGGATGCAGATGACCATTACCTGTTAGCTCACCCTTCCTAAAAATGTGTTGCTGCGAGTTCTGTTTCATAGTGGGTCTGCAGAACAGCTTCTGAGGCTTTCTAAGAACTTCAGAGGGCTTCTAAGACTATAATCTAAAGAAGCAGACTGACATATCTTTTTCCCAAAGAGTTAGGAACTGAGTTGCATATTTAACCACTGGAACCACAAGTGGTTTAGGCTCACCCTTGAAGACCCTTGTAAAGTTCTACTGGACAGAGGACAAATGGCTGTTATCTTGGAAACCTTTGTTTTTATATATTTCTAACTACATTCACCTAATCGTCCTGTTAAGATATTTAATCCTAATCAACACAAAATAAACAGTGCTACCTTCTCTTTCTGCTCCCTTACCAAAAAACTTTCTCTCACAAGAGTTTCTATTTATTAATAATCTTATATTTTAATTTCAAGCTAATTACTTGGTCTTTACCTTCAGTATTCTTAAGTAGTATTCATTAGCTAGAAATTCATTCATTTGATTCACTAAACATTAGCAACTTATACCGTAGGATGATTTTTTAACCTTCATCAGTGGTAAAGGAGCACTAGTGGTGGGGTCTAGAGAGAGCTGCACTTCTAAGCCGAAGGCTGTCAGTCAGAGCCCCAGCTCTGCAGGAGAAAGAGGGGCAGCCTCCTCCTGTGCAATTTACAGCCTCTGAAAACCTGGTGGAGGGGCAGCTGAGAGTGGATTCTGATTTGAAAACATTGAGTTCAGTTTGGGTAATATTACTATACTTAACATTAAAATATATCTGTGTACCTGAGGGAGCGCTGGTGGCCTAGTGGCAAGAAGCTGTGCTGCAATCCCAGAGACAGGCGCTCCGAGGACTCCAGCAGCTCCACAGGGTTGGCAGTCTCCTCCCATGCGATTAAGTACCTCTGAAAACCTGCTGTGGGTTGATTCTGATTCTGTGGTGCACAACCTAGGCTCACACCTTATTTTAATTTTTATTAAGTCAGGACATAAAGTGACATTAAAGCACCCAGATGTAATCCCTGGGGTTTTTTTAACTGCATAATTTAACCTTTTTACTTGCATTTATAGTTTGGGAATACACAGCATTATAAAGTGAAAAACACTTAAGTATAAAATAACAGCAGTATGGGAATATATTTATGTAAAAGACCTCTTGACAAATGTGCTGATTTATTTCCAGTGGGTGTTGTTGTTGTTGTTGTTGTTGTTGTTGTTGTTTAAGAAAACAAAGCAAAAATGTACAGCTTGGATTGAACACTTAATGATAAATCTTTGAGAGTGGGAAGAAATTAATGTAAGATCCTTTGGATAATACCGTTAGTTGGTCCATAGGAAACACCAGAAGTGAAGTGTCTACCACTACAGTAAACTCTCTTGAAACTCACTTAAGAAAATAAAACTAAAGAAAAACAGTAGATTTATTAGTGAGCTGTTATGCTTTCTAGTCTAAGTTAAACATGTTTGACCAAAAGCAAACCAAACTTATTGGCGTGTAGTCGATTCTGACTCTTAATGTCTATAGGACACAAAAGAAATACCCTCCTGTAGGTTTCCAAGGCTATAAATCTTTCCGTAACCTCTTTCTTCGTGGAGCAGCTGGTGGATTCAAACTCTTCATCTTACAGTTCACACTCAGCCACATTAATGTCCTGGGTTTGCTGTGTTCCACACTCTGCGCTCAGGTTAGTTGGTCATGAAGAGGAGTGCATAGGCCCATTTTCATTCCGTTACTCTGTGTACTGCTAATTAATAGCATGAACCCAGGGGAAAAAGTACACACATGACATTACTACCACTGTTTCTTTCTGCCTCACATAATAGCTTTGTTGAAAACATGATTGGTTAAAAGTGTGGTTAATTGAAATGATGGGATCATAGTTTAAGTAGCAGAGAAATGGTCTTGTTTTAGTACAGAGACTTCACGCTAACTTGGGGAAGGAAAATTCCTGGAAGCCAATTAAAAAGCTAAAAGACAAAATTTTTCTTTGCATGCCTTTCAGGACCCGTAATAAGTAAGTAAAAATCATAGATTTAGAAACATACTTTCTTAGATATTTTAAGTAGATTGCTCCTTTGAAGTCCCAGAGCCATGTTTCCTTATATTACTACTATGAATTTAAGTCTTAAGCTTTTGATAAGCAAGTGAATCATATGGCAGACACATGATAGTGTTTGTTCCTTCCCCCTTCCCTGGCCTTCGTCTAGATACTAGTTCAGTTTCCTCTCAGACCAAAGGACTAGATCAAGCTTGTTTCGTATCAGGAATTAAACGAAAATGAAATAGATCTTTGCACCTAATTCTCACTTACATTTCTAAATGTGCTGGCTTTGTTTTTAAGATAAATATGAAAAACTCATTCAAGAGAATAAAGATCTACAGTTACAGTATCTAGAACAAAAGCAACAACTTGATGAACTTAAAAACCGCATGAAGTTTTTTGACAAGGTAAACTTTATTTTCTTACTTAGGAAATAAACTCAAATTTGTTTTTTATCTACATATTTTAGAAAACAGTATACCACAAAGCAAAAGAATATGAATATATAGTTTCATTATGATAATTAGGCAGTTTATGTGGTGAATAATTGTAATGTCTGTTGACCTTCCCATTGATACCTGTTTTTACTTTATTTCAGGAGAGTGATGTTAATGTTGATGAATTGAGAGAAGCTCTCCTACTCATAAAGGTAGCATTCGGAACTTCACCTTGACTTTCATATTGGCACATAGCTGTTTTAGGTTTATAAGGATGCTGCTTCTCCGTAACCCTAATACTTGAAGCGTGTGTTCTTCGTGCATCAGCTAAAATTCAGTGCAGCTTTTCCTTATACACGTGTATGTCCTTTTCAGATCTACTGAGACTCAGGAAAGTGGTCAGATGACATTTAGCATATCCTCATTTCATAATGACATTAAAGTTACATTACAGTAGGGCCCCTCCTCTTACTGTAATAAACATTTTACTGTGGTGTATGCTTCACTATCAAACTGACCATTTTCTATCCTATGAAACTTCAATGTACCATATTAAGTAAATTATTGAATTGCAAGAATAACAAGAAGATGCCTTCCACTGACGGGATAGTCTTCTTTTTAAGAATACACACACAAAATACATTTCTTTCCTCTCGGATTATTGCAGTACAGATTTTAACCATAGAAGTAAAATTAAATATAGAGTATTTATTATGCCACGAAATAACTTTTTTACTATAATTGTTCCAGATGTCTACACAAATATATTTTTTCTCTATCACAACTGCTTTCTTCTTTATAGAAAAGTGGAAATACATCTGTTTTCAATCAATGAGCTTTCCTTGCTTTATCTGTATTAATTCAGACTATTCGTTGTATGAATTCTTCCTTCGATAACATATTTTTGTTTTAGGCTCAAAAAGAACAAAAGAATGGTGGAGACCCTTCCTTTTTAGAGAAAATAGACAATAAAAGTAACAAAGATCTAGAACGTTCCATGAGAGAACTGCAAGCGACTCATGCAGAAACAGTCCAAGAACTTGAAAAGACAAGAAACATGCTAATTATGCAACATAAAATTAATAAGGATTATCAGGTAATGTAATATATTAAATCAGGAGATAGGTGTCTTGTAATATTGTAAAGTATATAAGATATGTCATCAGTAAATGACTTACTTTTGCTAAGGTGTGTTAAGTATTCTCTATTATAATGAAGATCTATTACAATGAAGATCTATTACTGCTGTAGTCATGGGATTTAGTTTTCTAACACAGATTAAATCATTTAAAAACAAATCTTTCTGTTTTCATCTCTGGGTTTAGCAAACTAGGAGTGGCAGTGAACTCACTGATGCTATACTTTTACTGGTGAACTTTGCCACGCACAATTTTTTTCAACTGTCTGCTAATTGCTGTTTATACCTGGTGAGAAATGAATATGGAAAATGGAACAAGTCATAAAGGTGCTGAAACTTTTCTTTTTCTTAGATGGAAGTTGAGGTAGTAACCCAGAAGATGGAAAATTTGCAGCGAGATTATGAACTAAAAGTAGAACAGTACGTTCATCTTCTGGATCTCAGGGCAGCACGTATCCAGAAATTAGAAGGTACAGTATTCTCTGTAGTCAGTAAATCAAAGGGGTGGATTTTTTAAATAGTTGAAAAGGTCCGGCACATACACACTCAACAGTTTCATTTTCACTCTACACCGTCAGTAATAGTCTACAAGAAAGGCTAGTTTTTTTCTGCTCCATTTCTACTCAAGAATTTTTAGTGATTGCTTTCTGCTTTTCAAATTCAGTATTGCAAACATGATTTCAAAATACTTCATCAAGTACCATAGACCCAAATGTACCAGATAATTTCTCATTTCTCTTCTAAGCAGCCTGTGTACCTAAACCCATCTGGTCTGCTTACTCTTGGTCAACTTCACCTTCCTCAGTTCCACCACCAGGCCTTTACTCCATCAGAATGTTTTGCCTCTGACCATTAAGATAGACCCTGCTTTGCAGTCTAACTCATTGGTCCCAGGTAGTTGACTCCGATTACTCCTGCCCCGTCTTCTCCCGATAAAGCCATTGTTATTATTGCTCAGACTTCAGCAAGCAAGAAAATCACCTGAAGAACTTATTTAAAGCCTGTCCCCTTGGATCCTGTGCATAGAGATCCTGGACATCATGACTGTGGATTTAGGTAGTCCCTGAATTATGAACAAAATCGGTTCCTAAGTATGTCTGTAAGTTGAATTTGTAAGTAAATCAGAGCAGGTGCATCCAATTCTTCTTTAGCCTTACCTTTATACAAAAGAAAGATCCCTGGTGGTACAGTGATTAAAACACAGGATTGCTAACCAAAAAGGTCAGCCACCTGCCTCACAGGAAGAATATGACAGTTTGCTTCTGTAAATGGTCATTAGTGTCAAATGAAGCAAAGAAGCTCAGTGATATGAGGGTCATAGGCCATTGCATCTGGCAAGTAATTGATGGATGTCTGTCCCTTCTAGAGTAATGTCACAGAAAAAGTAAGGCAAGGGCAGTTTTCAGGAGATTGAAGTATGCCCGTCTCCAGCAGAGTTGGAGATACAAGTGTACATGACTCCTGATAGACATTTTAATCGGACATAAGGGAAGAAGTATATCTAAAAAGATATATTTATTTTCTTTAAAAAAATCTTCTAGATACAATTATTCAAAATGGGCGACCCTGGAGGACATGATGCTGAGTGAAATAACTCAGTCACAAAGGGACAAATGCTATATGGTGCCACTGTTGTAGAATGAGGCTAACATTGGGGTGGGGGTAAGACTGAGGAAAACTGGATAAATTATGTTTACTGCATTGAAGTCTATGAGGGAGAGAATAGTTTAAAAGTATTATATTTTAGGGCACTATGTTTATTATAAGAGTACGGAATGAGGGTTGCAGAGTGGATTATATTTGGGGTGGGGGTGGGGGTGGGGGGTGTACGGGGGGGGGGTGTACCAATGAAGGGGTTTTTCTTTTGCTTTTCAAGGAGAGGGGCGAAGGGTTGGGGAAAGTGCAACAATGAATGAATGGAATTCCAAAATCTCTGTAGATGTTCATTGAAATGAAAAATAAATAAATTTAATTTTTAAAAAAGTCTTCTAGATACAGACAATAGTTAACATTCTCTTAAGTGCAAATGTATAAACTGTGTAGCTCCATTAGTTGGAGCATGTGTAAAACCTGGTAAAGACGGTAAGCAAAACTATCCACCAGGTCAATAGGCAGCATCTCAATAGATGGAGAAAAGCTTGAGGTGGTTAATTACTTCACCTTGCTTGGATCCACAATCAACACTCTTAGCACCAGCAGTTAGGAAATCAGAAGACAAGTTGCACTGGAAAATCGACTATCAAGGACAACTCCAGAACACAAGAGAGCAACAGTGTCAGTGTAGAGACTTAAGTTGTGCCTGATCCAGGCCATAGTCTTCTTATTTGTTTGCTATGCTTCTGAGAACTGAATAGTGAAAAAGGATGTAAGAAAAGAATCGATGCCTTTGAGGTATAGTGCTGGAGAATACTACTGAACTGCCAAGAGAAAGAACAGATCTGTCCCGGAGAGGGTGAAACCAAGTTCCTCCTTGGAGACATGCATTTTGAAGCTCCATCTCATGTACTTTGAGCATGTCAGGAGGGACCAGTCCTTGGAGAAGGACATCATGCTTAGAAGGGTACCGGGTCAGCGCAGGAGAAGATGACCCTGGATGGGATGGATTGACACAGTGACTATGGCAGTGGGGCCAGATATGTCAGAGATGGTGAGGTGGGCTCAGGACAGGGCCAGGTTCGGAGTCATGAGTCACATAACAACAACATTAACTGCAAAAGTAAAAAGGGGTATCTCTTCATTTGCTGAATGGCAGGAGCTAGTGAAACCAGAAATTAACCTCACAGGAGACCTGATAATAGGAATGATTATGAAATACGAGGAATAATTATTTACCAAGTATTTACTTCAGTTATTCATTCAGAATTTTCTTCCATTTCCCCCTAGTTTAGGGGGATATATTACAATTTAAAGTGTTAAAATAAAATTTCTGTATAGCATGTACACAAAGCTCATGTGTAATCGTAGAATTTGATTGAAACTGTTCATGAAAAGTACTTTTGTAGCCTTCCCACCACTTCAAAAGCCGGTTTGCATCTTCATATGTCAATATTTGAAAATCTCTAAACTGTGCTTTTCTTTTTTTTTTTTTTTTTTTGCAGCCCAATTAAATGATATTGCCTATGGCACCAAGCAGTACAAATTTAAATCTAAAATCATGCCAGATGACTCTGTTGATGAGTTTGATGAAACCATCCACTTAGAACGAGGCGAAAATCTATTTGAAATCCATATCAACAAAGTCCATTTTTCTTCTGAAGTTTTCCAAGCATCTGGAGATAAAGAGCCAGTCACTTTCTGTACCTATGCTTTCTATGACTTTGAACTACAGACTACGCCTCTTGTGCAAGGCCTTCACCCCGAATATAACTTTACTTCTCAGTATCTTATCCACGTTAATGACTTATTTTTGCAATATATTCAGAAGAATACAGTCACTCTTGAAGTCCACCAAGCTTACAGCACAGATTATGAAACCGTTGCCGCTTGTCAGTTGAGATTCCATGAAATCCTAGAAAAAAGTGGTCGAATATTTAGCAAAGCCAGTTTGGTCGGTAAGTAAAAGTCTTATAAGGTTTAGATCTTTGAATTACTAATTTCGAAGCTATGTAAGTGTGGTGTTCTATGTGACTTTCTTCTCTAACTGTATCTTTTAGATTAAGGACGACATTGCCTACTTTAGCTGCCCGCAACTAATTGGATTATCTTAAAGGTCATTGATGATATCACTGCAATGGCTGTTTTGTTGGGAAGGATATGTAAAATGAAAATGTTGCTTTAGTAATTTCTAAGTACACATTTCAGTAATGTTAACTGCATTTTTCATAGTTCCACCAGAAACTCAGTACACCTTCAGCATAATTGTTACTTGCACCTTCTCAGTTCCTAGTATCCATGAAACTTCTTTCTATGGAATAGCCTGTTTAGATACATCACCCTAATAAGTAGGATCATAAAAGAATCCTTAACAGTCTTAACCTGTCTGACAGTCTGTCACACTGTGATGGCTTGCATGTTTTTGTGACGCTGGATATTATGCTACAGATATTTCAAATACCGGCAGGATCACCCCTAAGGGACAGGTCAGCAAAGCTTGCAGACTAAGACAGACTAGAAAGAAAGGCCTGGGAAGTACTCCCAATGAAAACCACATGGATTATAACAGGACAAACAAGTTCAGACTGCACTGAGGATATTAGAATAAATAAATTTAAAAAAGAACCCAAGTCCCAAGGTACTGACTGAATACCAATTTTGATGTTTAAAAAACTTAATATAGTGCTCATCTGTCTATGCCAAGAAATTTGAAAGACACTAACCTAATCAAGCAACTAGAAGAAATCCTTTCCAAAGATAGAAAAGTTGACAGAATGAAGGAAATATCAAACAATACCATGAAGATCACACACAGTTACAATTTTGCTGAAGATAATTTCACAATGGTTGCAGCAGAACACTGGCTGAGAACTGCCAGAAATTCAAGCTAGATTCTGGAAAGAGCATAGAGGAAGTGATGACTTAAAAACACATGACTCTTGACTAAATAAAGATAATGCCAGAACTATATTTACTGGTGGTTCGCTAGCAGTGCAAAGACATTTGATTGAGTCATGAGAAATTATGGATAATATTGAGAAGAATGGGAATTCCAGAACAGTTCATGTGGAACCCAAGTTCATGTGGTACCTTGAACGTCGACTCACAGGCAGGTGTTCTAACTGAGCAAGGCGATACTCTGTGGGTTAAAATAAGGACAAATATGCATCAGGGTTCTCTCCTTTTAGTAGACGCAATGCCGTCTGTGTGCTCAGCAAATAATCCAGGAAACTGGACTTTATGAAGAAGAACGTGGCAACAGGATTGGAAGAAGAATCGTTAAAAACTTGAGATAAGCAGATGACACAACTTGGCTGCATAGCAAAGACCATACCTCAACACAATGGAGAAAAGACCCAAGTTGTCAAGAATTTATTCTACTTGGGAGTCAAATCAACACCCCTAGAAACACTGTTGTGTTTTTATGTGCCTTCAAGTTGACTACCATTGATAGCAACCGTATGAATTACAGCTGTGAACCCTTTCCTAGCCTAATCCAGTCTGTCTCTGACACATCTGCTCCCGTCAGTCATCCTTAGTCCTTGCCCAGCTCTCTGATGCATAGCAAGTAATTGTGAAGACCATGGCCTGGATCAGGTGCACCTTAGTCTCTAGACTGACATTGTTATTCTTTCGATCTCTGGAGAGGTCCCTGACAGCAGATCTTCCCAATGCAGGCTGTCTTTTGATTTCCTGACTGCTGGTGCCAAGAATATTAATTGTGGATCCTAACAAGGTGAAATTTTGTCTTCTCCATCTGTCGTGATGCCGCACAGTTGGTGCGGTGGTGAGGATCTTTGTTTTCTTGATGTTATGCCGCAGTCCGTATTAAGGATTGTTGTTCTTGACCTTCTTTTCTCAGATTGGTAGAAGTTAGTGGAGAGTTTAAGACAAGACAGAGACGTAAAACTATTGCCTATAGATTTCAGAAACATTACTTTTAAGTCCCATAGAAAGAATAATTTCTAATATGTGGCAAGGAAAAAACAAACCAGATGAGCATACTTGCATTACACTATGGGAAGATGATGATGATGGCTTGAATTAAGATGATAATGAACTAGAGGTTAGGAAGTAGATTCAGTATGCAGTCTGAAAGTGATTGAACGTGCAACCAAGATGCACTAATAACTGGTGGTTGGAATGCAAAACTTTGAAACAAAGAAGGACTGATATTTAAAAAATAAGGACTTGGTAACACTAATGAGTCTAAAGATCAAATTATAGATGTTTGCCTAATCATTGAATGAGGATGACAGAAGAAGAATTGACGCCTTTGAGCTATAGCATTGGAGAACAGCATTGAACATTCTGTGTCTTGGAGAGGGTGCATCCAGAGTGCTCTTTGGAGGCAAGAATGATGAGGCTTCGCCTCACATACTTTGGGCATGTTGCTAAGGGGACTATTCCTTGGAGAAGACATGATGCTGTGAATGGTAAGGGTCAGTGAAGGAGAGGAAGACCCTCAACTAGGTGTATTGACACAGTGACTGCTGCAGTGGGCTCTTGTGTGTCAGGAAGTGTGAGGACAGCACAGGACAGAAAAGGGTTCAGATCTTTCGTTCATAGGGCCACAAGTCATACTCAGTGGCACCTAACAACAACATAATTAGTGATTTATTCATTGCATGTAACCTTTTTTTAGAGGATGTCAGCACCTATGCACAAGCACCTCACTTGAGGAACTACATGGGATCAGATTGACTACTTTTGGATTGGTGTCTACGTTCTGTTTAATAACAGCAGTGAAAACTAGGCAAGGGCCTCACTATGAAATAGACCATCTCATTGGGTACTACACCCAAGTGCAAATTGAAATTGAAGCTGAAGTAAATCAAAACAAGTCCACAAAAATCAAAATATTACTTAAAATCTATCCCACTTGTTGTTGTTGATTGCCATCGAGTCAAGCATCATAGCGACCTTATGAACAAAAGGCCTGAAGTCCCACTACAACTATCGACATTTATCAAAGTTCATAGAGTTTCCAGAGGCATGTTGTTTAGGAAGTGGATATTACTCCTGCTTCCAAACCTGTCAATAACATGTTATTGTTCTTATGTGCCATTGAGTCACCTGCAATGCATAGCGACCCTATGTACAGCAGCTCTAAATCCTTCCCTGTCCTGAGCCAGTCTCACTAAGTCGCACACACCAAAACCCCCAACACCCCAGTTACTGTATCATTTCATCTCATCTGGGGTTGCCCTCTCCTGCACTGTCCGTCCACCCTTCCAAGCATGATGTCCTTCAAGGACCAATCTCTCCTGGCCACGTGCCCAAAGTAAGTGAGGCAGAGCTTCAAAATCCTAGTCTCCAAGGAGAGCTTATCCCACTTAGATTTCAAAACTCTCTGAAGGATAGCTGTGACACATTGAGGACTAATGACTGAAGGTAAATTGAGTGTTAGAGGACATGACGAAAGCAAATGGTCATTACAAAATCTTTGTAAGTCATTGGACTATGTTTTAATCCTTGGGCCTAGATAACATCACATAGTAGAAAGTCTGAAACTTGATATTCAGGGCAAACAGCATGCAAGCGTTTACTGCATACCCTATATCGTTGGCAGAGCTATGACATTTCTCCTTCCATTTCTGGTACAGTGGAGAAGAAGTGGAAATGCGCTCAAGATGTAATAAAAGCTGAGTTCGAATTTGGAAAATCATATTTCTAATTTTAGGGTTTCTTATGTATCTGTCAGACTACATTGATTACAACTTGATAAAGTACAGCTGCTTCAGAAGGGTGTGGAAAATCAGTGAGCAGTTTAGGTGTTTCTTTACATTCCAGAAGGCTACAAATAGTATACCTTTTAGTTTCTCAAAAACAGTTGATTGTAACCCATGTGATAATACTTCATAGGCAATGACGCTCTTCCTTTGTTAACTTGATTTTCTTTTCCTCTGTTATTTGCCAGTTGCATATCATTTACGCAAGTCATATAAAATGTTCCGTTTAATGCTTAATACCATCAATGCATTTTTACCAGTATATAACTTGTGAATTTCTTTTAACAGAGTGTTATGTCTTGATTTGTAGGCACTAAAGGAGATAGCCCACATTTTGGCACAGTGGAATACTGGTTCCGATTAAGGGTTCCCATGGAGCAAGCAATTCGACTTTATCAAGAGCGAGCAAAAGCTTTGGGATATATCACATCAAATTTCAAGAGACCAGACAAAATGCAATGGGTGAGCTGGTTTGACCTTAAGATCCTTTTATGACAAATTTGATACTTTTTTACATATTGTGCTTTGAATGGAAATAATTTTCTTTCAGAGTCACTGTATTTTTTTAACTTGTTTAACTTTTTCTTTTTAAATAAAATTTCACAAGAAGTTTCAAAAATAGTATAGAAAAGTGCCCTGTATCTTTCTCCCAATTTTAACATTTTACATAATTATATAGTTCAATACCAAACTCAGGACAACGACATTAACAAAATATAATTAAATACCTTATTCAGACTTCAATATGAAAGAGAGAGAGAGTGTGTCTGTCTGTCTGTCTGTCTATGTGTCCATGTGTAGTTCTATGCAATTACAGTGTTTAGATTCTTCTTACTGCAAAGACAGTCAAATAGAGCTATTCTATCACCCTAAAGAAACCATTGTTGTTTGTTACTGTTGAGTTAGAAACAACCTATATGTGACCCTCCAAAGGGTTTCCAGAGACAGTTAATCACACAGAAGGAGATTGCCATCTTTCTTTTGCAGAAGAGCTGGTGGATTCGAACTGTGTGCCTTTGGATTGGCAGCACAGCTCCTTACCACCTAGGACACTTAAAAATATCACTGCAATATGCAAGCCAGATGATTCTGTTACAAATACTGTTGTTAAGGAAATAAGTACATATTATTGAACTATCAATTAATGTCCTTATTTCATACTATTTCCTTTTTTTTTTAAATAATTTTAATGAACATTTACAGAGAATTTGGATTTCCATTCATTCATTGCTGCACTTCTCTACCCGCCCAGCCCTCTCTCCCCGCCCCCCAGTTCACTCCTCTCTTCCAAAAGTAAAAGAAAAACTCCCTCCCTGGTACACAATCCCCCCGCACCCCTCCCACCGCCCCAAGTACATTCCACTATGCAACCTTAATTGCGGACTCTTGTGATAACCATAATACCCTATCATACATCGCTTTTAAATTATTCACTCCCTCATCTGTTTCAGTGCAGTATACACAATTTATCCAGTTTTTCTCAGTCTTACCCCCACCCTGATATCAGTCACTATTTCTTTTTTTTTTAACTTCTTGAAATCCAAAGTATAATACAAAATGAATATAGTATTCCCTTGCTGAAAACTATTAGTTTACAGACAAATCCTCAGGATAGCATTTTCTAGGCTGAGCTTCATGAAGTCTTAATGGTCATTATTTCTAAAAGAATTTCATGATCCAGTGACTATGGAGAGCAATCTCCGGAACAACTGATCTGAATAGTCAATATATATTTGTTGTTAAGTTCTGTCAAGTCAACTATGACTCAGGGCGACCCTGTGAACAAAGATCAAGATCTTACCCTGTCCTGAACCATCCTCATAAACTTTGCCATGCTCAAGGTCATTGAGTGATGAGGATGTTTGTTTCTTGATGCTGATTTATAATCCATATTGTACTCTGAAGACAAATATAAAATGTAAAAGTTCATCATTCAACATAAGGATCACATAATGTTAGAGAGGGAAGAATACTGCTTTATAAAAACATAAATTTACTGGCTAGTTAATACTTTTGAAATAAGTTTATGAATTTAAAAAAATATGTATTTTAATTTACACACACATTTATGTTTTGAGTTGACAAGTTGAGCTTTACACTGCAATTCTAAAACTGCACCACAGTTCAAAGACCTTCTTTCATCTTTTTTTGTTATTATTAGTTTTAATGAAAGTTTACAGAGCCTTTGGATTTCCCTTCACTCATTGTTGCACTTTTCTCCCTGCCCACTCCTCCCCCCTAGTTCACTCTTCTCTTTGAAAAGTAAAAGAAAAATTCTTTCCTTGTTATGCAATCCCTCCCCCCAAGTCCACTCCACTATGTACTTCATTCTGGACTCCTGTCATGACAGTAATACCTAATATATCCCTTTTAAACAGTTCTCTCCCTCATCTATTTCAATGCAGTATACATAATTTATCCCCTGTTTTTCAGTCTCCCCCAATCCGGATGCCAATCCTGTTTTACAACAGTGGCACCATGCAGTATTTGTCATTTTGTGTCTGAGATATTTCACTCAGCATAATGTCCTCCAAAGTCACTCATTTTGTATATTATTTGATGAGTTCTTTGTTTTTCAAAGCAGCATAGTATTCCATTGTGTAAATATACCATTGCTTCTCTATCCATTCATTTGTTGATGGGCACTTGGCTTGTTTCCAACTCTTTGTTATTGTGAACAAAGCTGCAGTAAACATGGGTGAGCATACACCTGCTTGGGTGGCAGTTATGGTCTCTTTGGGGTATATTCCCAGTAGTGGAATTACTGGGTCAAATGGTTTCTTTTGCAACTTTTTGAGAAAGCGCCATACCGCCTTCCACAGTGGTTGCACCATTTTACACTCCCACCAACAGTGAATAAGGAAAGCTTGCTATTCCTACTGGAGTGAAATGATATTTCATAGTTGTTTTTCTCTCATCTTTTTTATTCTCTTCCTAACATTCAAATTCATGAAAACCAAACTTAAAAATACCATGGCTTGGGTCAGACTCATCTCAGTCTTTTTATTTGTTTGTTTTTTTGTCTAAGTGAAAGTTTAAAAATCATGTTGGTTTTTAATGCAATTATTAATAGACATTTTGTTTAATAACAATTAATTACCATTCATTAATTAACTAATCACAATGGCTGTTAAACCACATATTCAAAACATAGTCTTTAGACTGACGTTTTTGCTGTTTAACACTTAAAAGAGGTCCATGTCTCTGATAACTGGAGATTTTTAACTCATCTCAGCAGCAACATAAAAGTTCAGCAAGATAGCAAGCACCGAATGCTGGTGGTGATGTGGAGATACTAAAACTGTCATTCACTGCTGCTGGCACTAAGGAAAGCAGTCTGATGCGTCCTTGAAAACTTGGAAAATGGATCTCCCATTTGACCCACTATCTCACTACTAGAAATATACCATAAAGAAACCAAAGCTGTGATGCAAACAGATGTATGCACCATGTTGATTATAGCAAAAAGATGAAAGCACTCCGTCAGCAAACAAAGTGGCTAGAAAAACTGGGGTACATTCACAGGATGGAATATTATGCAACATAAAAGAATGAACTTGTAAAACACGACACAACATGGATGGGCCTGAAAGACCATGCTGAGTGAACTGTCTCAATCATTAAAAAGCAAATACTGCATAAGCTATTGTTATAACAACAAGATTGGCATGGAATGGGGAGGGATAACAGGAAAAGAGTGGATAGATAATGAGTACACTGGAATAGGTGAAGGAAAGGGCTGTCTGAAAGGAGTCAATGACTAGGCATTATAGGCATGACAGTTAGCCGTCTAGAACAAGATGGGCATTACACAGTGAATTTCAGAGAGAAGAGGAGAAGGAAGAACTTTAGTTGTTGTAAACTTTATCTAAAATCATAATTTAAAATGAAATCCATGACAGTTGATTTGCCAAATGCAATAGATATTTTGATTACCTGGCTGCTACTGCCATGGTTATTGATTGTTGATACAAGTAAAATGAAATCACTGGCAGCTTTAATCTTTTCTCTCTTCTCATAATGTTGCCTATTGGCCCAGTGGTGAGGATTATTGTCGTCTTGAGGTTGAGATGTAATCCATATTAAAGGCTGTTGTTTTTGGTCTACTGTGACATACATTTCACATCCTCTTCATTTCCCACAAGCAAGATTGTATCATCTGCATAACACAGTTTGTTCAGTGTTCCTTCCATCCTGATGCAACATTCTTCTTCATCAAGTCCAGCTTCTCGAATGATTTGCTCAACATACACTTTGAATAACTATGGAGCAAGGATACAATCTCATTGAACTCCTTACCTGATTTTAAACCAGGTAGTGTTCTCTTGTTCCGTTTGAATAGCTAACTGCTGCTCTATATTTATACAGGTTTTACATGAGCACAGTTAAGTGTTCTGAAATTCCCATTCTTCTCAGCAGTATCCATGATTTGTTTAGCAGTGCAGTTGTTTTCTAAAATAATCGTGTATTGCCATAGGGTACTCTCCACCTCTGCCGAATTTATCCTGTGGCTCATCTCTTTTTTGAAATATTCGCTCAATCTTAGCTTTTCAGGAATGTAGCATCAGGATCAGAGGAAGAATCATTAGCCTGTTATGCCGATGACACAACCTTCCTGAAAATGTACAGGACTTGAAATACTTGACGCAGAAGATCAAAGGCTGTAGCCTTCAATGTAGATGACATCTCAACATCAAGAAAACAAACAAAAAAAATCTTCATCATGCTTGAGAAAAGATTGGAGCTGTCAGTGACTTTCTCTTCCTTGGTTCCACAATCAACACACTTGGGTCCCAACAGTAAAGAGATCAAAAGATGAGTTGCCTTGGGAAAGTCTGCTGTTAGGAACCTCTCCAAAGTTCTTAGAAGCAATGTTGTTAAAGACTAAGGTGCACCTAATTTAAACTATGATCTTTTCAGTTACTTGCTATACATCTGAAAGTTGGACAGTGAATAAGGACGACAGAAGAATAGATGCCTTTGAATTGTCATGTTGGAGAAAAGTATATTCAGCCTAGAGAACAAGTCTGTCATGGAGAAAGTGCACCCACAGCGCCCCTTAGAGGTGAAGATGGTGACGTTGCATCTCACATACTTCGGGCATGTTCTAAGGAGGGGCCAGTCCTTGGAAAAGACGTCATGCTGGAAAAGGGGGAGGGTCAGCAAAAGAGAAGCAGACGCTTGGGAGGTGGACTGACACAGTGGCTGTAACACTGGGCTCCAGCAGATCGGAAACGGAGAGGACTGCACAGGGAGGGCAGGTTTCAGATCTGTTGTTCACACATGACTCAGTGGCACCTAACAGTAATAACAAGAAGGTGATGTGCTGTGTTGCTGATACAAAGGTCAATAGTTCTAATCCACCAGCAGGTCAGCAGGAGAAAGATGGGCCGTCTCCTCCCGTAAATAGTTATAGTCTCAGAAACGAAATGAAGAGCTACTATGAGTCAAAATGGCTAAAACACAGTGGGTTTTTAAGGTTTACCCATGACTTTGGATACTTTGGGACTTTGATAAAGAGTAATTCTTCAGTTACAAGTCGATGCTAGTACTTGCTCGTTAATGGTATCTGGATTTTCCCTCACTTTGAATCGGTTGAACTAACCTCTAGACCTCACTCACTGCTGGAACGTTCATTTTGACTCATCGCAAAGGACAGGGTATAACTGCCCCCGGGATTTCCAAGGCTGTAAATCTGCACTGAATCAGACAGCCTCATTTTTTCTCCCTTCATGGGACAGATGGTTTCAAACTCCTGACGTTCTCATAAGCAGTCCAGTACCTAAACCAATGAACTCCCAACACTCCTTGTACCAAGTCCTTAAACCAAAATGAACCCCTGCTGTCAAGTTGGTTCTGAGCCACCATACCCGAGTAGAGCTGCCTCAGACTTTCCAAGCCTGGAATCTTCACAGAAACGGTGCCGCCTTTGTCCCTCTCCAAGGACGGGTCCCTCCTTGCAACATGTCCAAAGTATATTAGATGGAGTTTCAGAATCCTTGCCTCCAAGGAGCAGCCTGTTGTTACTTACTCCAGGATGAACCTGTTTGTTCTCCTAGCAGTCCATGGTGTATTCAATACTCTTCTCCCACAACTGAAAACACAATAGCTTGGTGGATTAGGTGCACCGTAGTCTTTAAACTGATATCCTTGCTTTTAGCACTTTGGAGATATCCTTGACAGTATATTTTTCTCAATCTAACACATCTTTGGATTTCTCAACTTAATTTACCATGAGTGCTGATGGATCTGTAGATCCAAGTAAAATAAAATCACTGACAGCTTCTGTCTTTTCTCCATCTATGTTGCCCATAGGTACTCTGGTGAGGATGTTTATTTTCTTGATGTTGAGATTGACCTATATTTGTAACCAAAGACTGTAGCCTTTGATTTTCTGCAGCAGATATTTCAAGTCTTCTTCAGTTTCTGCAAACAAGGTTATGTTGTCTGCATAATGTAGGCTTTTGAGTCTTCCTCCAATCCTGATGTCACACTCTTCTTCACTTAGTCCATATGTGTTCCCTATCTCAAAAAAAAGGTGATCCGACAGTTTGTGGAATGTATTGAGCAATGTCATTAATATCATATACAAGTAAAATCTTGCTGAAATTTTTATTTGTTTTCCTTCCAGTCAAAAATGAGTAGACTAGAACATAGACAAAGGCTGCCAGAAATTCAATCTGGAATCAGAAGAGGCCCTAGAATTTGGCAAATCATTGCTGATGACATTCAGCTCTTGGCTGAAAACAAAGAATACCGGAAAGATGTTATGTTTTATTGATTATGCAAAGACATTTGACTGTATGGATAACAAATTATGTCTGAAATTAATAAGAATGTGAAACTCAGACAACTTGTGCTTTATATGAAACCTGTACCTAGACCATTTAACAGTTGTCCAAACAGAACAAGGGAACAAGGTGTGTGTCTGGGTTATGTCCTCTCTATTATCAGTCTTTATGCTGAGCCAATCATTTGAGAAGTTGGAGTATATGAAGGAAAACTGTAGCATCAGGATTGGAAAAACACTAACCTCTGGATAGACCCCACTGAATTTGCAGGATCCTTAAGAAGAGAATATGGTCGCACTCACTAAAAGGATTTTAGCTCTTGATAAAATTGTAAATGAGGAGTCAAATCCTTTTAAATAAAAATTATAGTTACTAAGAAATTCACTATGAACTAAAAGTGTACAACTTTTGTACAGTTAGAAAATTACTTTGTTTTGGGAGGGGGTTGACACTTTTTTTTAACTGTATGAATATTATAACTTAATTTTTTTTTTTACAGTTAAGTCAGAAAACACCCCAAACTACTCTGCTACGCTCTACAGATCTCACAGATGGCAATTTAAATGAACTTTATATTACAATAAAGTGCTGCAGTCAGCTGAAGTCCCGAGCAAGCCACCTACAGCCACACCCGTACGTTGTGTACAAGTTTTTTGATTTTGCGGACCATGACACAGCCATCATTCCCAGTAGCAATGATCCACACTTTGATGACCAGATGTGCTTCCCAGTCCCAATGAATATGGACTTGGACCGATACCTTAAGTCCGAGTCTCTGAATTTTTATGTGTTTGATGATAGTGATACCCAGGAAAATATTTACATAGGAAAAGTCAGTGTGCCTCTCATTTCGTTGGCGCATGACAGGTGTATCTCAGGTAAGCTATAAGCTGTATTTTTAATTCTATGATTTTGAAAAAATAGAAGTTTGAATTATAAATCTGTGATTATGAGGGGCTCTGGTGGCTTAGTGACAAGAAACTGTACTGCAATCCCAAAGGCACATAGTTCAAATACATCAGATGCTCTGATGGAGAAGAAGGGACAATCTCCTCCTGTACCAGTTAGATCCGTTAAGATGGTACACATACAAAAAAAAAAATAATATAAAAAAGAATCTGATTATGAAAAAATAAGTCTAAATTATATATCTCAGCATTGTGAAAAATCTTTGTCTCATCTTCCTAATCTCAGTTTTTTAACTTAGAACCTGATACTTTTTTTTTCAGTTACAGTTACTTTAGAAATTACAACACACATTTTAATTTATGACACTACATAAAATTAATACTGACTTAACCCCGTTAAGGGAGTTCCGGTGGCAAAGTCCTTATGGAGTTGCACCACTCACCTAATGGCAGTGCCTCGGGAAGGAGGGGCGAGGGAGTAAGAAGTACAGCAGTGAATGAGTGAAAACCTTAACTTCTCTGTAAATGTTCATTAAAATCACAATTAAAATGGAATTTTAACCAAAAAAAAAAAAAGGCAGTGCCTCTCTGGTGGTTCAGTCAGTGGCTCAGCAAGAGAAAGATGAGCACTGGCCTCCCGTGCAGCTTGCAGTCTCCACAAACCTGCTGGCTGCTGGCAGGGTTGCTCTGAGTCTGTTCCAGCCCAGCAGTAAGGAGTTTTTTCTTTATTGTGATGGGGTTGGTTTGTTTTGTTTTCAGTGCCATTAAAACAGGGAGATTCAGTGGAGCTCTGGTGGCCTAGTGGCAAGAAGCTGCAACTACAATCCCAGAGGTGCACGGTTCGAATCCACCAGATGCTCTGGCGGGGAAGGAGGGGCAATCTCCTCCTGTACCAGTCAGACCTGATTTGACGATACACACACACAAAACTTAATAAAAAATAAAAAAAATTAAAAAAAAAAACCGGGGAGATTCTGCTCCAGTAGAACTGTTCTTTTGTTCTGTGATTGTCCTGTTATTGTTGTTATGTGCTGTTGGGTCAGAAGCAGCTTTATAGCTGACCCTCCAGGCTGCTCCTTGGAGGCAAGGATTCTGAAGCTTGGTCTGACAGACTCTGGACATGTTGCAAGGAGGAACCAGTCCTTGGAGAAGGAGGTCATGCTCAGGAGAGTGGAGGGACCGCGCAGAAGAGGAAGACCCTCTATGAGGTGGATTGATTCAATGACTGGGGTAATGGGAGTAGGTGTGTCAGAGACAGTGCAATTGGCACAGGACAGAGCAGGGTTTAGGGGTTTTGCACATAGAGTTGCTATGAGTTGCAGGCATCTTGATGGCACATAACACCACCACCACCACCACCACCAGCGGGTTTTCAGAGGTGCATGGGTTCAGTTTGCATGGGAGGAGACTGTCCATACTGGTGGACCTGAACTGTGTGCGTTTGGGTTGACAGCTCCTTACCACTGGCCACCAAATGTGTTTATAATATGGATTTTACTGCTTCATCACTAATGATGTTTTTAAATTTCAGTAAGCATACTTTTCAGCTCCATAATTTGTTTCGTTCCTTCTTATAATTGCTCTCTTTTTATGTCTCCTATTTGATGAGCATTGTCATCATCCTTTTCTTTAATTCCTCAAGCCAATTGCTTTTAGTTCTGTGAACATACCTACGAATAGCTGTTCTGAAATCATTGTCAACATCTGAAGTTGAACATCTGGGCCTTCCTCAGAGAGTTTTTATCGACTAGGGTGTGTGTTGGACTCTGTCTCTCTCTCTCTCTCTCTCTCTGTGTATACACTACACTCTCCTGTTTCTTTGCATTTCTTGTGTTTTTACTGTTCTCAAAAATTGGATAACTTTTGTTTTCCGTTTTCATTTTAAACCTGGATCGGTGTAGTTTTGCAGTCATAAGGTTCCACATTCATCAAGGGAGGAATGACTTTCGTGGGTGTCTTTAATTCCTCCTGAGTAGGAATACCATTTTGTGCACACACCTATCCTCCCCTACCAGCCGTTATAAATAGATTAGCCTCTTACAAGACCTCTGCTGTGTTTCTGGAATCTTCCTTTTAAATTTTTAACTGCTCTTCTCATTTCTTTGCTTTCTGAAAATAATACTGAGACCTCAAACTGGCTGTGACATTGGCCTTCCCTGATTATTTTGCCACTGAAATAGCTGTTGTTTTTACCGCTAGGTATGAAATTATTGATACTGTACTCCAGAGTCAAGGCGATTTGGAAGGTCTAGATTGAGGGAGCGCACTGCTAACCCAAAGGTGGTGTTTCTCCAGCAATTCAAATCCACCAGCCACCCTGAGAGAGAACAGTGGGCAGTCTCCTCTCCTGTGATTTCCAGCCTTTGAAAATCTGCTTGATTGGGGAGCTCTGGTGGCCTAGTGGCAGGGAACTGCAACTGCAATCCCAAAGGTGCATGGTTCGAATCCACCAGATGCTCTGCCAGGGAAGGAGGGACAATCTCCTCCTGTACCAGTCAGATCTGATTTGACGGTACACTCACACAAAAATAATAAAATAAAATTTAAAAAAAAATCTGCTTGAGGGTCAGCTTTGAGTTGGTTCTGACTCCCCATAGTCGTCTTCTTTCTTTCTCTCCCTCCCTCTCTTCCTCCCTAATTCATTCCCTCCCTTCCTCTCACTCGCCTTTTCTTCTTTCCTTCCTTTCTAATAAAGTCGGCCTCTTCCAGAAGAGGCCAAAAACCTTCACAGCCTTCCTCATACCTCACCCTGATAAAACTTCTACACCGTGGAGCTGAAGACAAAGAAGATGACGGGAATAGCTCCAGAGCCTCCCGCTGTTCTTACTGAGGTTGAGATTTCATTATATAAATGTTCTCAACTTGTACACATTTAATCAATTTGCATATTACTTAGATGGTTGATTTTGACCACTAGTTTTATCATTGCTTTTTGTGGAAAAGATTTTCCAAGCCATTCAGAAAGTCTTCTTGGGCCTATAATAAATGCTAATCATCTCTCTGTATTCCAACTATCTATCTTTTTGTTCTGCTGAAAATCCGGAATTTTCAAAATTAACTTCTTTAAAATATCTAACACTTGAGTGTAAAACACTATCTCTAAGTAAGAGTTATGGTTGAAATAAAAATTGAGGGGGGGATTTCTGTCAAGGATTTTTCATACTTAAAAAGCTAGTACAATAATTAAAATTTATGACTCAATATTATAAATTTATCTGGTGATAGTTGTGATTACTGTTGTTTGGGGTGATTATTTTATGGAAACTTTTTTTGTATTCCCGTTACAATTACCTTGGAATAATTTAACCAATCCTAGTAAAATGCACTTATTATAATAGAGTTATTCAGAAATACAAGGACCAATTCAAATATATAAATTACTTGCAATTCTTTTTAAATATTTTTCTTTAAAGACAATCCACTTACAAAAATATTCAAGTCACAATTCTTGTTATTTTGATGGGAGGCTAAGATTTCTGAACAATCGCTCAATTTCATTTCAGAGATTTAAATATCAAAACAGTGAATAATCGGGCGAGCTCTGATGGCCTAGTGGCAAGAAGGTGTACTACAATCCCAGAGGTGTGTGGTTCAAATCCACCAGATGCTCTGCTGGAGAAGGAGGAACAATCTCCTCCTGTACCAGTCAGATCTGATTTGACGGTACACACACACACACACACACACACACATAAAATAAAATTTAAAAAAAGCAAAGATTTCAATGCAACAATGAATAAATGGAAATCCAAAATCTCTGTAAATGTTCACTAAAATTAATAAAATAAAATTTAAAAAAATAAAAAAACAACAGTGAATAATTGAAAATATAATTTCTAAAAATAAAAAAAGGGGGGAGAGTGAAGGCAGCCATATATGATCTCTACTAACGCCAGCGGGGGGGGGGAACTGTCCCCATCAACAATGTCCACCATACAATACCAATTCCAATGAGGTCACACATGTCTCTCACCTGTCTCTGCTAATTCTATCTTTCTGCACCACTGAGTTAAAAATCTGTTACAATAGCTGCATAGAACTCAAAGAGTCATACTCACCATCATGAGGTTTGGTAGGGAAGTTAACAGATCACAACTGAGGTTGGCAACAGGATACAATTCCTTAATCAGGATAGCTTCTGAAGTATGCCCCCAGTCCCTTCAGCCTTGTAGCTTTTAGGCTAGTGTTAAAAATCTCTTTTAGTCCTGAAAATGAAGGCATCTTACCCCACCACTATCCAGTCCTCCAGCAAGTTTGGGCAAAGGCTCCCAACTCTGGCTCTATGGGCAACACTTCCAGGTCAGTCCTGTCCCACATTTGGTGTCTGGTTGTCTGCTGCAGCTTCTGCTACTCTCCTGTAGGCCCCAGGCTGGGTGGCGCAGGAATCTCTGGCCCCAAAGGATACACACCCTGCATTCTCTGCTGCTTTTTCCTTTCTGGCATTGATATACCCAGCTACCTGCTACTGAACCTGCTTGATTTAAACCTGATGGAATGCAAACCCTATTTACATGTTTCTGTCCAGCCATGAGGCAAAGTCAAGGGTGATGGCCTAGGTAAGCCATTTTGAACAACAGACCCTCTACTCCACAAAATATTTATCAATTAATTTTTTCACTTTTGAATTAGAATTAACTTCAGGCTTTATTTTTTTTAAAAGCAATCTCCTTGAGAAACTCTTTTAGCTTTACTTTATTCTCTATTTGAGGGGTTTGGGGTTTTTTTTGAGCTATGCCTAAAAACTAACTTTATTTTAACAGGAGCAGTACTCTTTGTTCCTCTAATTTTACGGTAGCACTACTTTGCCTAATTAAGATTATTTTTGTAATCTGACAGGAATATTTGAGTTAGCAGATCATAACAAGCATCCTGCAGGCACCATCCATGTTGTCTTAAAATGGAAATTTACTTACCTTCCACCCAGTGAATCGGTAATAACTGAAGACTTGGGAAGTTTAATTCAAAATGAAAAGTCAGAAGTTGTTCAAAGACTCCCTCCACCATCCTCTGTTAGTTCATCCACTGTGGTAAGTGAGAGTAACTTTACATTTTCTATAAAATTTAGGCAATAATCCCTTAAAATTGTTGCCATGTGCCCTAAGGTCAAAATCACATCATAGCCGACCTTTCAGTGGGTTTACGAGACTCTGACCTGCAGGGGAGGAGATTGCCCATCCTCCTGTGGAGCAGCTGGTCGATTTGAACCACCTGCCTTTGGGAAGGCAATGCAACTCCTTACCAACTAGACCACCAGAGCTCCCTAAAAATGGATAAACTCATACTGAATATTCTATGTTCACTGTACTAGGTTTCACCTGTTGGTTTATCTTAGGCTCCAACACCAAAACCACGACAGCGTTTAACACCTGGAGACAAAAAGGTGTCCTTTGTGGATAACTTGCCTCGTCAGAGTTCAGTAAGTAGTAAAACTCAAATTACTGACTGGCTTTTTTTTATATAAAAAGATTTAAAATTCAATAAGTATAAGTAAAAGAATAACTGTAACATATTCTATCTGATTTAAATGGAAAGGAGTGAACAAAGTATTTCTTTTTCCTTTAAAGCATTAACTTTGTAATTTGCTGCTTTGATCTAAATGCTCCCTTGATCTCACTTCCCTCCCCAGCTACTGCCCCAGTCATCGCTTGTTAAAAAAAAGAACAGTCCTCAAAAAAGTTATTTAAATCCTGTCTCCCTTTTCTTACCTTGTTTCATTCTTAATGCCACTTTGACAATCTTTTATCATCCTTAAAATCACTCTAAGGACGCTTCTGCTCCATCCGATCGTCCTTTCTCACGGCTCAGCATAGTCTCCCAGTAGCATTGAACAGTGGAATACTGGCTTCCTCTTCTCTTGATTTCCCATTCTTCTCATTCTCCTGGACTTGCTCACGGTCAAAGTCATAGAGGTGCTATTTTTATACACTGATTACTGTGTTAGTGATGGTTACTATAGAAAGGAGATAGAGATAGATGTATATTATACACACATGTTACATATATGCTACAGCATTAGTCATATAACTAAAATTTGTGAACTAAGTAAATGTCATCAGTAGAAAAATTATTCATTAAAATATCCACTCAATGAAAACTTTGTCATTTAAAATTTTCTCAGGAATTCTTATCAGGAAAAAATGTTTATGTTAATGTCAATTTTTTTAATGCAATAGAATATTTGGTATTAATATAGGTACTACTTTGGAAGCAGGAGTGGCATCCACATAACACAGGCATATAGCATGCCTTTGGAAATTCTGCGAACTCTGAGAAATGTCAATAGTTGTAGAGGGGCTTCAGGCCTTTTGTTCATAGGGTCACTATGTGTCATGCTCGACTCGAAGGCAAACAACAACAACATAGGTACTACTATGAATCAAAAAAAAACATTTTATTTGTATTAAAAGTTAATAATATAGAAATAAAAATCTAATAAATTCATTACTTATATTACTGGTTAGTAAAAATATAGATTATTGTTTTTTGTTTTCTTTTTTACATTTTCTATTTTGAGCATGTTTACTTTTGAAATAGAAAAATAGTAAAATATATTTAAAAAATAAACTTTATGAATTGTGGAAAAATAATTGAGTATAAATTGGTCTTCCAATCTTTTCTTCATCTATCACAATGTTATCAGTCCAGTGGTAAGAATCTTTATTTTCTTGACATTGAAATGCAATCCATATCAGAGGCTGTATTCTTTGAGCTTCTGCAACAAATGCTTCAAGTCCTCCTCACTTTCAGGAAGCAAGGTTATGTCATCTACATAATAATGCAGATTATTAATAAGTCTCCCTCTGATTCTGATGCCACATTCCTCTTCATAGAGTCCAGCTCCTCAAATCATTTGCTGAGCATACAGATTGAATAGATATGAGGAGAGAACCCTCATGCACTCCCTACCTAATTTTAAACCATGCAGTGTTGTGTTGCCTTGCTCTGTTCCCACAATAGCCTTGGGTTTCGCATGAGCACAATTAAGTGCTCCAGGATTCCCATTCTTCTCAATGTTAGCCATAACTTGTTATGATCCACACAGTCAAATGTCTTTGTGTTGTCAATAAGGCATAAATAGACATTCTTCTGGTATTCCTTACCTTAGCCAGGATCCTTCTGACATCAGCAATGATATCCCTAGTGCCATAGCCTCTTTCTAAATCCCGCTTGTACTTCTGACACTTCCATATCTATGTACTATTCTAGCTAGTTTTTAATGATCTTCAGCAGTATTTTGCTTACATGTGATACTACTAATGACACTGTTTGATAGTTTCCACATTCTGTTGGATCTCCTTTCTCGGGAATGGGAACCAACATGGATCTCTTTGAATCCGTTGGTCAGACAGCCGTCCTTTCCTGGCACAGACTAGTGAGCACATCCAGGGCTGCATCTATTAATTGAAACAAGTCAATTGGTATCCCATTGATTGCTGGGGCCTTATTTTTTTTATAGTGCCTTCAATGCCGCTTCAGCCTCTTCCTTCATTACCAATGGCTCCTGCTTTTATGGTCCATCCTGAAATTTTTCCATGTCAGTCAGTTCTTTTTGGTACAGTGAATCTGTATATTTCCTTCATCTTCTTTTTGATGCTTTCTGGGTCATTCAATATATTGCCCATAGTATCTATTAATATTGCAACTCAAGCCTTAAATTTCTTTTTCTGTTCCCTCAGCTTGAGAAATGCAGAGCAAGTTCTTCCCTTTTTACTCTTCAATTCCAGCTCTATGCACATTCCATTATAATATTTTGCTGTGTCTTCCTGAGCTGCCCTTTGAAATCTTCTATTCAGCTCTATTACTTTGGCATGCTTTCCTTTTGCTTTGGTTTCTCAATACTGCAATTTTTAGTCTCTTCTGATGTCCATTTCAGTCCTTTCTTTCTCCTCTGTCTTTGTAATGGCCTTTTGTTTTCTTCATAGATGATATCAAGGACCAGATACTTGTCTGGTCTTCAATCACTGGTGTTCTGTGCTTCAAATCTATCCTTAAGATGATCTTGAAATTCAGATGGAATAGATTAAAGAACATATCTTGGTTCTTATGGACTTATTTTCATTTTCTTCAGTCTCACTTTGGACTTGCTCATGGGTATTCAATGGTCTCACCCACTGTCTGCCCCTGGCCTAGCTTATTGAAAAAGAAAAGATGCAAACTGTCAACAACTTCATCGTCCTTGGATCCACAGTTAACACCCTTGGTACTAGCAGTCAGGGTATCAGGAGACCTATTGCACTGGGAAAGTCTGCAGCTAGGTACCTCTCCAAATTATTGAGGAGTGATGTGAGGGCTAAGGCATGTCTGATTCAGACCATGATCTTTCCGATCACTTGCTATGCATCTGAAAGCTGGACCATAAATAAGGATGACAGAAGAAGAATTGATGCCTTTGAGCTGTGGTATTGGAAAATAGCACTGAACATCCCATGGTCTGCCAAAAGAATAAGTAAATATGTCTTAGAGAGGGTGCAGCCTGAGTGCTCTTTGAATGCAAAGATGATGAGGCTTCACCGCACATACATCAGGCCTCTTGGTAGGAGGGGCTGTTCCTTGGGGAGGACCATGACGCTCAGGAAGGTAGAAGGTAGACAGTGGAGTGGAGTGGAGTGGAGTAGAGTGGAGTGGAGTGGAGTGGAGTGGAGTGGAAGACCCTCAACCTAGTAGGTTGACACAGTGACTGTCGCAGTGGACTCTAATGTGTCAGGAAATGTGAGGATGGTGCAGAATAGGACACGGTTCAGCTCTGTTGTTCATAGTCTCTCTACAGATGGTACTTGATTGGACAGCAAGCACCTAACAACAACATAAATTGATATTTGATACAGAAAAGAGAATATTAATTGTAGCAAGAATGTACCTATTCTGGCATATGTTTAAAATTGCATAAGTAGTGCATAATTATTATAAAAATTTTAGAATCTAAATTTCCCTAATCTGTAATTCCCGGTTTTGGTGAATATGATGTCATATTTTCCATATGCAAAGATACATAATTTAGCAAAGAAGAATGCACTATATGTATTATATAATTAGCTTTTTCATGCAACTCTATTGTTAGTAAATACAAATCTACATTATGTTCACAACTACATTGGACTTTTATTTAACTACATGCAATTGTTGAATATATGTTTTGCTGCCTTTTTTGGTTATTATTAACAGTGTTTCAAAGAACTACACTTGCTGGTCTTAAATTGCATCTACAGAAATGGGAAATGTCAACTATTTTCCTATAATATTCTAAATTGTGTAATATGAGTAACTCTTATTTGCTACCAGTGTTTCTGTGTGCACTAATATACAGGGAGCTCTGGTGGCTTAGTGGGTAAGGAGCTGTGCTGCCATCTCAAAGGCATGTGGTTTGAATCCACCAGGTGCTCCATTGGAGACAGGTGGTCAGTCTCTGCACCTGGGTTGACTGTTCTGGATGGGGCAGTCCAAACTCAATAGTATATAAAAGCAATATGTAAAAGTCTTAAGATTATCTTGACAAATACAAAATGTCATAAATGCCTGCTTTCACATTAATGTAAAGGAGACTTCTACTCCTGACGAGAAGAAGGAAATTTTACCAGAAGTGAAGCAGACACCAGAAATAGAAACAATCACGCCAACTAACATAGAATATTCAAATGTTCCAGAGGTATGTATTTGCATTCATTATTTGGAAAGTTGTCATTTTCTTCTTAAAGACTCTAGCTTATGATTATTGACATAGTTCAGGAAATCATAACCTCAATTCTACTTTTGTATATCACTTCCTTATAGTAGAGAGATTAAAAATAGCAAAGGTTTAGAAAGAATTTTTTTTTTACTTTTCAAAGAGAAGAGCGAACTGGGAGGGAGGGACAGGCAGGGAGAAAATTGCAACAATGAATGAAGGGAAATCCAACGTCTTTGTAAACTTTCATTAAAATGATCTAAAAAACAGACCAAAAAAAGATGAAGAAAAAATAGAAAAGTTTGAACAGCTACAATAATACTGACATTGAAAAGTGATTAGATATGTAAATGAAAGTCTTATGTAAAATTCTATTTGAGATTAATTCACATTTTATTCTTGGCTGGTAATAAGATTTTCAGTTATCATATGCTTATTTGTATCGTTTGTTGATGAATAGGTCATATATGTTCTTCAGTTTATATCTTTTGTTATTTAAGTACTTAAGCAAGAATGCTATGAGTATCATCTAAGCAATAATAAATGTTATTGTACCTTCCTTCAGGTTTCACAAGAAAGCAATACAGATAAAATTAAAAAGGACATTGAGAAAATACAACAAGAAAATGAAGATGTATCTTTATTATCTGAAGGTCAGCTTGAAGAGCAAAGCGTACCTTCTTCTGAAGATGAAACAGAAATAAGTGAGGAATTGGAGCCAAGAGGTGAATTTCATTTTTTCCAGTTAATGTTATTAACACTTTGTCTAGTCTTTGTTATTTGCCTCATAGAACATTTTCTTTTAATAGTAACTATCTCATGATACCAGTTTCTTAACAGAAATGACAGGATATAAAGTTCAGTCTAGTTAGCTAAGGTCAGGTGAAATTTTTACATTAATTCTTATGTTCAACCTGAAGCTCTGAAGAATGTAAGTTTGACTTTTGACCATGTTTCTGATTTATATTTTAAAGGGCTTTATAGTCCCTTTTTGCTTAGTATTATTGTCTGGATTATTTTAGAGGTTTTGACTTGTTGAAAATTAAAACTAAGAATTCAAACCCACGGGGGAAAAGTATGATTCCACTCATATAAAAATCAAGTAGTTAAAATCTATAGTGACTAAATGCAGGAAAGTGTTTGCCAGGGGAGGAAGAGGTCCCAAGGTCAAGTCAAGGAGGGACAGGAAAGAAGTACAATGAAGAGGCTTTGGATGTGATGCATGTACCCAGAGTGTTAACTGCAACAGTCTCACAGGTTGTAAGGACATTCGAACATCAGATTTTACACTTTTAAAGTGGGTACAGCTTTGCAGGATCAATGATTTTGTAAATTATTACTTAATTTGGGAGGGACTGGAGAGCATTATGCTGAGTGAACTCAGTCCCATAAGGATAAATATTGTATAAAACCATTATTGTAGAATGAGTATAAGGATCCAAGAGGGGTGGGAGAGAGCAGAGAGATGTGGATGTGCAGGGGAGCGGCGGATTAATCATAGGGTTGTACAGTTTGATGGGAGCGGGGTGAGGGAAATTGAAGGAATTTGTTCTTAAAAACAATGTATTTGAATTTTATAAATAAACTAGTAGAAAATTAAAAAGGGTATGCAGCTTATTGTCTGTCAGTTTCACGACAATAGAGGTATAGAAATTATGAGACTCTTAAATACAAAGAATAACATTCTTAACAATATCATTGATTAGGGAGGGATCTTCTTGTGTAATCTCAGACAATAACAATATATATTTTTATTTCTGCCAAAAGTAATCTAGGAATTTTCAATCTCTTTTATCTCTTTCCTAAAATATGATACAAATGTCTCTGCTGATGTAAAGTGGTCTCGACATAATTATTCTGTTCTTTTAAGGTTAACCTATGATGTATGCTTGTTTTTCTCTATTTAACAAGGTGCCAAGTGTAATTGTTTCATTTTGGTAAATGTTGCCTTTATATTTTTTAACAGATGAAGAAGATAGATCGCCTACTGACAGTGACGACTGTGTTATTACAAGCTCTGTCTCAAAGAATATTAAACAGGTCAGTAACTTGATCCCAACCAGAAATGTTGTAAAGTAAAACTGTCCTTCATGTCATGGTTTATCAGTCCTCACACATGAAAATCTTAAGGTGAAAATATTTCTGGAGAACTGTCATTGTCTTATCAAAGTCTTAGCCAAGATCTACATTAAGAACAAATATTTATAGATGCATTATATAATGGACCATGTAGGTAACTATTATTTTTTACTAAAGCATGTAACATCAGTAGCATTAGCAGTTATTTGCTAAAATTGGCTTCTTTTGGGGACCAGGATGCGATGATGTTTTGACTCACAAGCTGGTCATACCTAATATGTCTACTGATTAGCTGTTAAAGTGAGTTATTTTCTGTGCCCAAAATTAAGCCTTTATAAAGTACACATAAGTGAAAAGGCCTTATTTTTTTCTGTTTACCTCCGTTCGTTTTCCTGAAATTAGCCATACTGAAGTGTAATTTTTTTAAATCATTTCTACTTTATTGTTAAGAATTGCAATACCTCTTTTAACTTTTAAAGTCTCCCACATTATGAGCTTACACTCTATACAAAAGAAAACCATAGAAAGGACATTTCTGTTGTTTCTGTGATTAATAAGTAAAAACACTTCATCTTTCCCAAGTACTGTTACTATGTCACTGTTAATTATAACAGCATCAACTAACTTGACAACATTATCTATAGAATCTCCACTCTGAAAAATTTATAAATTACCCGTGATCATACATAGAAAAGAAAAACTGATAAATTAAGTAGACTTTTGCCTGTTTGCTTAAAGATTTAATTACAGCTTTCCATTCTATTCAAGTAGTGAAGTACTCAGCTGTGAACAAAACCCATTAGACACTCCATGAGGAAAAAGACTCGGGGCTCTGCTCCCGTAAAGATTCTAGGCTAGGAAACCCCCAGCACAGTCAGCTCCGCCCTGTACAGTCATTGGAATGACTGGTTGGCTCACAACCACAGAAGTCTGCATGTTTGATTCATATGTTCCTTTCATACAGTTTAATAGTACCAGGCTGGGCCTGCTTTAGTCTTTATGGATAAGTATATGTGATTTAGCCACTTGAATGCAAAGTTCAATCAGTAAGCTACTGAGTTAATAATCTTAGAAACAATGAAGACAGATACTTATGAATATATTTATCTATTCAACTTAGAAACAGAATTAGTGAGACTGCAGTGATTCCCAGGGCACTGCCTGCCTCTAGTTTGTGATCACTCCATGTACGGAAGTGATCTTATCTGACCTTAAGGAACCTATTAATTGGGAAGATTCATACTCATGAAAAACCAAAAGTTCTATTAATGTAAAAGAAGAGTTGTATAACTAAGCTAAAAAGTTCTTGGAAATTTTCCGGCCCATCTTTCTGCTTCTCCAGACAAAGAGAGATGAAATGACTTGCTCACAGATATGCCACTCTGAGGAAATTCAGAAGAAGGAGAAATTCGGAATGATTTGGCAAATTTCATGTAGGGTATGTCTGACCCTTAAAGAACACTGTGCAGTTAAAGTCGGTGCAGCCCCTCAGTGAGATGGTTAACACAGTGACCGTCACCGTGGGCCCACGCAGATCAGAGGTTATGAGGCTGGTGCAGGATGTGCCACAGTTCCAGTCTGTTGTTCATAGGATCCCCTGAGTCATGGTGAACTTGCGAGCACCTAACAGGGTGGTGGGGGAAGAGTGAAGGACCCATCTCCCTCCATTGCCCTCAGGTGTTGCAGGGTTTTAAAGAAAATTTGATTCTAAAATCCCTCCTGCCCAAAATGGCTTAAGTTTGAAAAAGAGATTTGGAAAAAGGATACAAAGGTATCTCAATCCTAAATACTAGAATCATAGCCATGGTTTACAGCAGCCTAGAATTAGTGACCTAGAACCCTGTATTCAGGATTGCATATCTTCTTGTGTTCATTCTCTCTATCAGCGTGTGTGTGTGTGTGTGTGTGTGTGTGTGTCCCCTCATGTACCTGTGTGTGTGTGCCCCCTTATGTACCATTCCCTCTCTAACTTCCGTTAGGCACTTTTCCTCCCCTTTGGCTTGTGCTAGAATTCTATTGTTCTGCTACCCCACATACATCCTTCTTCAACATTCCAAAATATGATTTCCTATAAAGGTTTCAGATACTGTTTCAAATGTGTGAACACCAGTTAAAGCAAGCAACTCTTCTAAGCATGCTTCAGTAGCCATTGGTCAGCTCTCCTGTGTGTCTGGAAATCCTACTTTTAGTAGGAGGTACTGAAAAGTATGTTAATAGATAAACTTTAGTTTTATTAAATTGTATATAGAATCAAAATTGTATAATCTCTAAGGATGACAACAGAACTCAGAAGATACTAGCATATTCTGGTGCCAGTTTTTCTTCTATGCTACTTAGCAAACCTTAATAAAAATCACAAAACCTTTTTTTTTTCTTAAAGGTTACAAAAATTGAAAAAATAATTCCTGTATCAAATTCACCAATTACTAACATTTTTCTTATATTTGTTATAGCATTTTTATTTTCTGTATATATACATACAGATGTTGTTGTTATTTTTCATCAAGTCACCTGCAACACATAGCGACTTGATGTACAACAGCTCTGAACTGTGCCCTGTCCTGAGCGAGTCTCACTGTTTCAAGACACCTACCTCCACAACTCCAGTCACTGAGTCAGTCCATCTCATCCAAGGGATACCTCTCCCGGGCGGTCCCTCTACCCTCCCAAACATGTTCTTCTCCAAGGACTGGCCCCTCCTGGCCACGTGCCCAAAGTATCTGAGATGGAGCTTCAAAATCCTTGCCTCCAAGGAGCAGCCTGGTTTCACCCTCTCCAAGACAGACCTGTTTGTTTGCTTGGTAATCCATGGTATGTTCAATATTCTCTCTAGCTCCACAACTCAAAAGCATCAATTCCTCTTTGGTCATCTCTAGTCACTGTCCAGTTCTCTGATGCATAGCAAGTAATTTCAAAGACCATGGCCTGAATCAGGTACATCTTAGTCGCCAGACTGACATCATTGCTCTTTAGCACTTTGAAGAGATCACTGACAGCAGATTTCCCCAGTGGAATTTGTCTTTTGAGACAGAGTTCTTTTCATACACACTCTTTATATGCACTAGTTTTATGAAAAGCTGTAGAAATCATGCCCCTTTACTCCTGAATATTGCATATATAATATACATTATATAATACAATGTTATATAATAATATAATAATACAATGCAATTTAATCTATAAGCCTCTTTAATATTTTGACAGTTGTTCCAGTCATGTCCTTTTTGGCACTTTATTACTCAATCTGAGATCCCCAGTATTTTTTTATTATTTATGAGGCAGACAAAAGCAGCAATCCCTCCCCTGAAGGAAGTCACAGTCTACAGTGTTGGATGGTCAGCATGAGCCCTTGGAGAATAGAATGCACAGGGTGCCATGGAAGTGCTCAGCCCACATCAAAGATAACATCCCACACATACATCCCTTTTAAACAGGTCTTTCCCTCTTCTGTTTCAATGCAGTGTGCATTATTTTTCCCCTTTTTTCTTAGCTTCTCCCCCCAACCCCATGTCAGTCCTGTTTTATAACAGTGGCATTATGCAGTATTTGTCCTTTTGTGCCTGGGATGTTTAACTATTATTTACATGACAACAGGCCAGAATAAGAGCTGCATAAAACAGTGGACTGGGGGGAGGAGGGGCAGGAAATTGTGATTTTTTTTTCTTTTTTCAAAGAGAAAAACTGGGGTGGGTAGGAAGGAAAATGTGCAACAATGAATGAATGGAAATCCAAGTTCTCGATAATTCAAATCTCAATTAAAATAAAAGAATTAGAAAATAAAACTTTTCTATTCAATCAAATAAAACTTTTCTATTTAATCAAATTTTATCCTTTGAGAAAACATATTTTGAAAAAAGACATTAAAAAAAAAAGATGACATCCAAGAATCAGTTAAATTTGACTCAGTGGTAAAGAAATAGGAGGGACAGAGGGCTCAGTAGTAGACATGGCTCACCAAAGAAACACAAACCAGGAGAGCTGAAGAGATTGTGGCACGTGGTTTGGGAATTGGGAGTCGTTGAGGAGCCCAAGAAGATCAGCCTGGCAAGGGAATCATGTTCTCCATCATGGAGGCCTCTGTAGACCTTCTCAGGAGTTAGACATCTGTACTCAGGTTCAGTGAGCAGTCAGGAAGCTCTTTCTAAAGGGAGCATAATCCAGCTAACCCAGTGTAACTAATGATGATAAATGGAGAAAAGACTGAAGTATCAATAATTTTATTTTAATTCACAATGAAAACCCATGATAATAGCAGTCAAGAAATCAAAAGATGCATTGCATTGGGGGGAAATCTGGTGTCAAGGCCCTCTCCAAACTGCTAAAGAGCAAAGATGTCCATTTCTTAAATTTATTATTATTATTATTATTATTATATGTGTGTGTGTGTACACATACCATCAAATCAGATCTGACTGGTACAGGAGGAGACTGTCTCTCCTTCACCAGCAGAGCATCTGGTGGATTTGAACTGCGTACCTCTGAGATTGCAGTGCAGCTTCTTGCCACTAGGCCACCAGAGCTCACCCAAAGGTATCCATTTAAAGACTAAGTGGCGCGAGACCCAAACTGTGGTCTCTTCAGTTGCTCCGTATGCATGTGAAAGTCGGTTAGCAAAAGGGAAAGGCGTCAGGATGGTTGATGCCTTTAAGTTGTGTTGACAGTATTGGCTATCCCGTACCGACAGGTCAGTCTTGAAAGAAGTGCAACTGTGTAGTCCTGGCAGTGAGGATGGTGAGACTGCATCTCACATATTTGCAGCCTATTATCAGGAGTGACTAATGCTTGGAAAAGGAAATTATGCTGAGAAAAGGAAAAGGTCTGAGAAATAAAGGAAGAGCCTCGGTAAAATTAGCTGGCACAGCGATGACAAAAGTGGGCTTGAGCCCCGTGGAGCTTCTGAGGAAGGTGCTTCCAGGCCGGGATTTAGTCTCTTGCACGTAGGGTCATTAGCGTTGACTTGA